AGTTCTTTTTCTCTGCTTGGGAAGTTTCTGTTACTACTGCTATGGACATATTTTTTATGTCATTTGCACTATCTTCTGATGCTTCACTGACTCTGGCTAAGCTTATGTTATTGTTCTTTGCATCATCTATCAGTTTCTGGATTGGTTTTTCATGGTCCCTTGCTATTTCTAAGAATCTTTTCATGCCCACTAATCACAATCCTATGTTCTATATCTGAGATTGTATCCTCACATTGGCTTGTTCAGCTGCATATACTTTCAGTGGCATTTTTAATCTGGATATCTATTTGAATCTGTGTCACAGATTTCATTTCTTTCCTATGTTGGGCATTCACGGTTTCCATCATGTTCCTAAGCTCCTCTTATTTTTTTTTTATCTGTATCCATTGTAGAGTCATTGAGAATGCCTTTCATTATGGTCACCATTTCTGTAGTTAATCTGAGATACTATTTCTGATTTGATGTCTTCTAGAGTTTCATCCATCTGCTTTGTTAATTCTGTTGTTACCACTTCAGAGAGTCCAGGTGGGTAGCTGCCCCCTTGGTTTGCCTTTGGTGATCTGGAAGTCTGGAATTGCATCTCATTTAAGTGTCTTCTCATTTTATATGGTTTTTAGTTTAATTCCTGTGTTGATATCTGTAAGTTTCTCTTGGTGAGTACATTTATTGCCAGTATTTAGATCCCTGAAGAAATGTCTCCTTCTCAGAGATGTCTTTCAGGTGTAGCTGGGTTTTGGGTTTTGAGTCTGTTGCAAGATGCTAGCTTTTTATTTATTAAGAATGAGACGTTGCTACCTACTTAGCCCAGCCCCTGGTTCTTTGGCACTGGCCTATATTATTATTTATGTCTCAGGCAATCTCAGTCTTGGTATACTAGGAAACTAGTTATAATAATTATGTCATTTTGGCCAAAGTGGTACAATCAGCAATAGCATCCAACACAGCCTAGAAAATGACAAATTGAAGTAATCATTAATTTGCTACCTCTGACCCGATATGAAATAGATTTGTGTTTGGGGCAGGGGATTTAGCTCAGTGGCATAAGTGCCTGCCTTGCAAATACACAGTCATGAGTTCAATCCCTGGTACCAAAAAAAAAAAAAAAAAAAAAGATTAATGGTCATGCAACAAAATCTAAATGAACCAGAAAATTGTGTGCAGTAAATATGTTCTCAGTGTGGCAATTTTATCTTCAGAGAGAAAATTTAAAAGGGACTAGAAGAAAAAATAAAGAAAAAGAAGAAGAGATTAGAAGCCAGGCAGAAGGATAAAGGAAGAACTGTCAAACTTTAGGAAACTGATGAAGTAGACAGGAGGAAAAGAGAGAAGGAAGAAATAAAAACAAGAGCAGACAGAACAAGAAAACCTCAAAACCATGCTCATAATCATATACATAGAACAATCAAGAAAAACAAAACAAAAACAAAAAAAAGAGAAAGGAGAAAATAAATATAAGAAGAAAAATGTCCACTTTTTTCTTGTGTCTGTGCTGTGTCTGGTAGACAACATGAGCAGACAGGGTTCATATCTGAGCTGACTATCCCCAGTAAGCCAGCAGGGTAGCTGTATGGCAGGGTAGTGGATAATCCCAGAGAGCCTGCACCTTTGGTTCCACTGAAGCTGTGAGCCTGGAATCAGACCCGTTCAGCTCATGTTCCTCCTCCTGGACTGAATTTGGCTACCTACCAGCTCAAACTGGGCTCCTTGTCCTCCCAATGATATAAATTCAGATCCCTGACCCTGACACTGGGAGTCATTTAGATGGAGCAATCAGTTGCCCTGAGTTCTGAGCTCAGTTAACCTCTCTCCAAAATGGCTTCCAGCCAGTTGCCCTCTCCTGAGGGAAGTCTGAACCCAAATAACTCTCCAGCCACTGCAATTCACAGTGTCCATAACTCCATTCCACTGCTGTTTCTCTGTAGAGGCCTCTGAGGTCACCTGTAATCACCATGCAACTGCATGTTCAAGCTGTGGGCTCAGAGTGAATGTGTCACCTGACACTTCCTCCTTTTTTGTTGAATTCACTTTGTTTGCTCTCCCTGTGGACTTCAATTCTCACTTCATATTCTTCCTGTATCCCAGGGATTCACCTCCCTCCCCTTCTTTTCTTCACATTGCTATATACCAGTATCTGGACACCAAATCTTAGAATCTTTCTCTCCTGTTCACTATTCCACCATTTTCCATGAAGTCCTCCATATTTTTTTCTCCATTAAAAATCTAAAATAGGGCTGGGGATTTAGCTCAGCGGCAAACGCACCTGCCTGGCAAGCATGAGGTCGTGAGTTCAATCCCTGGTACCAAAAAGAAAAAAAATTAAAATAAATATTGAATAATTCAATAATAAGATATAGCTTGGTAATGGGTATACTAAGAAGATGTTCATTATATTATTCTCTATGCTTATAAATTTAAGCAATTCACCATGTCACAAAGAATGCACAATGTTTGGGGGTGAGCTAACAAGACTACCAAAGTATATCAAATGGAGAGATTTTGTCTAGTGTCTTCTCTGCATACTCTAAGAAATAACTACTGTCCAGTAGTTAGTATCTTATATATCCTTCAAAGCATTTGTATGTAGATCAAGCACAGACATGTAGTGTATGTTTCCTATTGAAAAGGTCATTTTTATCTCAAGAAATATGCTTATCTCTCAAGCAAACCATATTTACAGCTTCTATAGTTCATGTCTTGCTTTTCCTAGCCCAAAGCTGTTGCGAAGCATGGCTGCCTAGTCAACGGCAAATAATCTATTGAAAAATGAGGTTGTTTGCTCAATACAGTATCATCCTCTTATTCATTCAGATGATATTTATTGGTGCCTGCCAAGACCCATTGCTGTGTTAGAAAAAAAAGATATATCTCAGTGTTTGGGGAACTTCTTATCTACAAGGAGAAAACAACCAACAGCAGTGGTGTATAATCAGTATGCCTAGAGAAGACAGGAATGAACTTCAGGAGTACCTAATGGAAGGGCCTAAGCGAACAGAGTTGCAGGGCTCCCAGAAGTGGTGGCAAACTGAATGAGAAAGGGTGAGCAGGACTTCTCCTACATGAAAGTCAGGGGGGAAAATGTATCCAGTGGAAACAAGAAAAGTGAGACTTGTAGTGGCGTGCAGATAAACTGTCAGGAAGCTGACACGCCAGTTTGACTGTTGACAGAGAGTGAGCAGAAGTGAGTTAAGGAGTGAATAAAATCAAGTGTTTGGTCTTTTATCCACAGGGCAGTCAGAAGACAAAACCACTAAGGCAAATAAGTGCTATGACCAACTTGCGTTTTAGGGGCCTCTCTTAGGGTAAAACCTAAATCTTCTACCAAGTGGAACCCATAAATAAAAGGATATACTCGTGTTTGACTGCTATCTCTATTATTTATTTCCTGTGGGTTAATGACCCTCCAACTTCTGCTTTGCCACACTTGTTCCAGAATAAACTACTATCTAGAGTGAACACTTGTCTGTTACATATGATCAAAACACAAATTTGAGTGTACATGATGAGAATGTGAGCATTAAAAGCTGAGGTTAGCAGTAAAAACCTTCTAGAAATTTTGTGGGACATGAATTCCCAGAAAAATGGGGTGGACCTACGCTAAAAAGAAAACAGACTCCATAAATAGGTTAATTCAGTATTTCCAGGCCTAATTTTCAAAACTGAAGGGACCTAGCTTATCCATAAGCATTGCCAGATTGGGATAGAAGGACTGACAGCAATTGGTAAGAGCAATCAGGAAATTTAGTCCTCCTGTCCTGTCTGGAATAGCTGCCAGCCCCTTCAAGGTGACAGTTATATTTGTATTTCCATTTTTAATATCCTGTGTTTCCTACCATGCTCTGGTGGGGATGCTCCTGTGGCCTGAGACTATCACCTTAGTGGTTCTCCAAGCATGGAAGGGTCTGAAGGCAGTGCTTATTAAAACACGACTCATTAGGCCTCACCTCAGAGTTTCTGAGATTTGTATTTCTAACAAGTTTCCAATTCTGACATTGCTGGTCTAAAGGTCACACATTAAAAACCTAGAGTACTGACAAGTGTTGCTCGCCTTTGGTACAACCCTCATTGGAATCATGAAAAAACATCTATCTCTATAACTTTCTCTGTTCATCAGCTCAGGAATGCTCAGAGTAAAACTTAAGCCCAGTTCCTTGTTTTCATCCTTGTGACTCCTGCAGAGAGGGCAGGGTTGAGTTGGGGAGGAACCTGAGAAGTCCTTTTCCAGAGCAGGAACATAAGGAAACAGGGAAGAGCAGCTTTTGGGCGTGAGGAGTTGTCTGAGCAAAGGCACGGAGGCAAAGAAGTTTGAAATGGATTTGTGTGTGTGTGTGTGTGTGTGTGTGTGTGTGTGTGTGTGTGTGTTTTCTTTGGTATACTCATACATGTGTGCACACAGACACACAAGCACAAGGAATTGTCTCCTAGTGACTGTGAGAAACAAAAACTCAGGGAAGAATGATGAGAAGTCACATTAAAAAATTAATAATAATAAAAATAATGTCTGTTGTTTCCTGAGAATTCTATCTGTGTCAGGCTTTACATGTATTTAGAACTCTTCCTAAGGTCCCAGAGTAAGTAGGCACTATTATAGTGTGGTTCATATTCTTAAGATGAGGCAAGTGAGACTCAGGACAGAGTGTAGGTAACTTTACCAGAGACACAATAATTGGAAGAAACTCATTCCAGTAATCTTTGGCAGAGATTATTTGTTAGAATCAATAGCATGTCAAATGCTTATTTGGATAAATGAATAAGATAGCAGCAGGTCCGTGTTACAAAATTGTTTTGTTTTAAAATATGACTCTTTCTTTGCCTCATGCTCTGTTAAAGTAATTTTAAAGTCAAATGATAACACAGTGATCTATGTTTTATTTAAAGGATCTAGGGTTTTTACTATAAGAAACTGGTTTGGGTCCCTTTACTCCTAGATCTCCTAGAAGTAACATTAATATAAAAATGGTTTTTCCAGAATCTTTTTTAACTTTCAGTTGTGTGTCTTTCAGCCTGAAGAAATAATTTATTCTGATACAAATAAAAATATGGTAGAAGATCTAAAGAACAGGTATCATGTTCTCCTGCTAATCTCTTGTTAGTCTCTCTACAGTCCTATAACTCAGTCTTTCAAAACACCTGAGTGATTACAATTGCAGCATGGAAAGGGAGATTATAATGGTTAGTTCCACTGAACTACAGTACTTGTTTCTTGATAAAGACATTAAAGAATGACCCCTCTTTCATCCAGGGCACCCCGTGAAAGAAGAATATACATTCAGGAAAACCTTGTAGCCCACTGTTGCAAATTTCTCAGCACAGATGTTTGTTGAGCTATGGTAATAATAATAATCCAGTAGCTAACACTTCCTGAAAGGACAGAAAGGTAAATGGCCTGTGACCCAGGCTATAGAAAAACCATCCCAGTTGGATGGTAGAGATAGCTATCATACCTGAATGCTCTCTTCTTCCCCAAATACATGCATATTAGTACCTTGAGGAGTTGTTCATTCAAACCCAAAGGGTCACAGACTTTGAAAAGTCTCATTTCTGCTTCAAATGCATCAGAAACTTCTGTAGCTGACTGTTTTCATATACCATGCCTGCAGGTATGTCACTAGCAATTAATCAAAACAGAGTATGAAGAATATCATTCTGCCACTCCTTTTTCTTGCTAGCACACAATGTACTCCACCTTTTATTCCCATCACTCACTTCCCATTTCTTAACAAATTTTAAAAAGTAAGAAATGCAGCAGAAAAATTGTTCTGAACCTCTAGTTTTCATCAAAATTGTTTCAGGAGCCCAGACCAGGCTTATTGAACAAATAGAGGAAAAAGAGTCTAATAAAGCACCATGGATTATTTATTCTGATGGATGGCCATAACTGAGACCCTCTGCAACTCCAACCTGTGCAATATAAGCAATATTAGTTGCAATATAAAGCTAGCCAAGAGGAGATTCCTAGAAGCTTTGTCAGTAACACATGCTGTGGTAAAGGCTGTATCTCACACAGTCATCCTGCACAGAAGAGAAGCTTCCTAGGACCACTCCATCAATGAGGTCACACTGTTCCCAGCACAGTTGCTTAGCAGAGACTGTCTTGTCACCAGATCAAACTGAGGAGGTTCACTTGAGATTCAGATCACCTGAAGAAGAGATATAGAGTCACAGAAATGTCTGAACATGCCTTTATTCTCAGGTGCTACTCACACGGCAGTCCTCAGGCCCCTGTAACACCTGCTAGTCCAGCTGTGCTTAGCGGTCTATATGATAGTGGTTACATGCCAGTGACAACCTTGGTTATGTTAGATATTGATGAGGCTCACCTGTGCTGAAACCATGATGATTTGGATTTAATATCTGCCAGAAATCATAATCCCCCAACAGCCTGAACCAAAGTAAAGCCATCTGAGGCTTCATTTTTCCCTATAAACTACTCTAGGGGCTAAGAATACCAATAAAATTCCCTGCCTGTATGGAAAACTACATTCTAGAGGGGAGAAGCCCAACATCAAATTTATCAGGCCATTATCCCATGTCCTCCCAACCCTACTTATTAAATTAGCTGACCTAATGATCCCACACCTACTAACATCATCCTACAGCAAATATCTGAGTTTATGTAAAGGTGATTTCTTGGAAATATAATGTTCTGTATCAAAGGAAGATCTTAAAGAATGGAATACTGATGCAGTAATTGGATGGTAGGTGTTGTCAAACACATTCCGGTGGCAACTGTTTACACACCAGTAATAGAGACATGCTTTGGAGACAACTAAATGTTTATTTATCCTTTAGTTCATTAACATGAATGGTTACAATGATCACTGTAGAGGGCTGGTTTTCTTTTAAACTCAAAAGCACCATTTTCATATAGTACTTGACTAAAAATGACAAAACTGGCATAATATTTACTAAATTAATCATAATTTGTCATTATGAACTAACTTTGCATTTTGACTTTAGGATTGAAAGAACTCTAAAATGTAAAATAATGGAATGGAGACCGAAGCACTCAACACGTTGGAATCGACAGTGTACTTCTGTTTTGCAACAAATTCTTCCTAAGCTGGAGCTTGGCACAGACAGTCCTGTTTTATCTGAAGAAGAGAATGAATTGGAAAGACTATTACAATTTTACTGGGTTTGTATACAATTTAATGCATTAGTGACACTTGGTTTTTTTGTGTGTTGTTGATTGATAAATAGCAATGTTAAATATCTCTGAAATGCCTTTTTATCTTGACCTGCAAAGAGAAATACTAAGGCATTAAATGCATTTACTTAGAGACAAGAATGGAAAAAGCAAATCTAGTGAACAGTTATTACCAGAGCCACATTGCCTAGTGCTTTTTTTTTAAAAATCTAGATACATTTTATGATGAATAAGCTATAAACTTTGGGAAAAGATACAGAAGGAAACCATACTGCAATTGAGAAAGAGGATCTGTAGTAATACAATGAATTTCCTGTTATTGGTTCTGAGCAAGAAGATTCCAGGGAGGCTTCAACACCTCCCATGTGCAAATTACCCCAAAATGTATACACTTAGCCTGGTCTTCACTTCTAACCTTCCACTTAAAGTCATTACTGTATTGACATCTTGGATAGCTGTCTCAAACTCAGCAAGTCCATAAGCAAATATATTGGGCATTTAGTATTTTGTTAAGTCCTTCTTTCCTTCTTCTGCTCTAAGCCCAGCACCTGGCATCCTTTTTCCTTCCTTTCCTTATGAACCAATCAAGTAAGTTTTTTAATACCTCAGCCTTGTAAGAGTGAGAACTCTTCCCCCTACCAATCAATAAGCCAAGTGTCTCCTAGGGGAACCTCTGAAAGGAGAAAGTCAGGGATTTACTGGGAGTAGTACTTTGACTACTAGGGAGGAATCTGGCAGGCACTATTCATGAACAGCAGAAAGTTTTGTTTTGCTTTGTTTTTAGTAGAATTAGGAGTAAATAGAGAAACAAAATATAGTTAAATGTAGAACAAGATTTAAAACTTGCAGTTTCTGGCTCTCCATATGTCGAAAATAAGACTAGATCCATGCCTATCACCGTGTACTAAGTTAAAATCTAAATGGATCAAAGATCTGAATATTAAAACAGAAAGACTAAATCTATTGGAAAACAAGTTGGGTAAAACCGTTGGGGACATAGGGGTAGGTGGAGAGTTCATGAACAGGAATCAAACCGCACGGGAAATACTTCCCAGAATCAACAACTGGGATCATGTCTCATTAAAAAGTTTCTACATGTCAGGCTGGGGATTTAGCTCAGTGGCATAAGCACCTGCCTTTGTAAGCAGGCAGTCATGAGTTCGATCCCCGGTACCGATAAAAAGATTTTTAAAAATGTAAAAAAAAAAAAAAAAAAAAAAAAAAAAAAACAGTTCTTGTAAAAAGTTTCTACACGTCAAAAGAAATCTCTAGCATAGTGAAAAGAAAACCTACAAACTGGGAAACAATCTTAGTGAACTGTCCCTCAGACAAAGGACTTCTGTAGACAAAGGACTTCTGTCTAAAGCATATAAGGAATTAAAAATAATCAGACCCCAAAATTTAAGGATCCAATCCAAAAATGGGCATCTGAGATGAATGCACAATTCTTAGATGAAGAAATACAAATGGCAAATAAATACATGAAAATATGTTCATCATCATTACTCATTAGAGAAATGCAAATTAAAACAACACTGAGATTCCATCTCACTCTAGAAAGAATGTCCAGGATCAAGAAAACTACCAACAACAAATGCTGGAGAGGCTGTGGGGGAAAAGTAACTCTCCTGCACTGTTGGTGGGAGTGTAGACTGGTGCAACCACTGTGGAGGTCAGTCTGGAGATTTCTCAGAAAGCTGGGATTGGAGGTACCATTTGTTCCAGCTATCCCACTTGTAAGCATATTCCCAGAAGAACTGAAAACATCATACCACAGTGGTATATGTGCACCCATGTTTATAGCAGCACAATTTGCAATAGCCAGATCTTGGAAACAACCTAAGTGTCAATCAACTGAGGAATGGATAAAAAAGATGTGGTATTTTTATACAATGGATTACTACTCAGCTATAAAGAATGATCACATTGAGATATTTATAAATAAATGGATGCAGCTTGAGACCATACTCTTAAGTGAAATAAATCAAACTCACATGTATAAATACCGAATAGTTTCCCTAGTGTAAGAAATGGTAAGAATACATAAAAGTATGTAGTAATCATGATTCCCCATTATATTGCTTTGAAGCCTTATAATGTTTTCATTCATTCATTGGAATGGTTTTATTCTGGGTTGTTTGATTTTATTGTCTGTGATGGTATGAACAGCTATTTTGAAGAAAACAAAACATTATAATAGCTAATGATGGTTTAATATCATCTTGTTTTGAAGTCCCATGAAGCTTTTGTTCTTCTGTATCCATTGGTTTTATCATGTTGTATCTTATTGGATTTTATTATATGTGATAGTATAAACATAATATTTTATAGACAAGGAGATAATATAGTAACCTTTGTTTGTTTTCTGTTTGTTAACTCTGAATACCCAGTAATACTTTCATTCTATTGAATGGTTTTACATTGTCTTTTTATGTTTGATACTATAGTATATGAAGGTATACTCCATTATTTCAAGGAAAGAAACACTATGGTAGCTACTGTTATATCAGATTGTCTTGTGGTGAAACACTATATTGCTTAAACTGTTCTATTCAGAAAAATAATATGTTCACAGAAAAAAACTTTCAGTTCCTACATAAAATTATCTATTTAATAATATATAGTCAACAATAATAAACCTGGACTGAACCGGCAACCTGTATTCAAATCCTGGATTAGCCACTCAGTAACTTTGGCCCAGAACAAATTACCTAAACTCTTTATTTATTGTATCCAATAGATAACAGGAATAAAAATAGCTATCTGCTTTGTGGTTCTGAAAAAGGATAGAGTGAGTTAATAGCATTGCACCCAGTACCTATGTATTAAATGCTATCATGTCTTGACATGATACCTGTATGACAGGTATTGCTCTAGGCACTGCAGAAATGATAAGGTCATGGTGGCACACACCTGTAATACTAACACTCTGGGAGGCTGAAGCAGAAAGAGTGTTTGAACCTAGCCTGGGCAAATTGGTGACTTAGCAAGATCCTATCTCAAAATAAAAAATAAAAAGGAATAAAGGCATAGCTCAGTACAAGATTTGATTTGTAGTACCAAAAAAGAAAGAAAGAAAAAGAAATCACTATATTTTAGTAATTTGAGAAAAGGAAAGATAGTGTTCTACACAATAACATGAAAAGGACATGTGAATAGACTTGAGGATGAGGAAAATCCTCCTTAGATAAACAATCTAAGGGTTAAATGAGATTTATGATTCTCATCTGTGTATTATTAAGTAGGTTCATACCACAGTCCTTTAATACTATCATGTGGTTACTTCAAAATATACAGCAAGTCATTGCTGGAGGAAGTCTCATTTAAACTCAAATGTGGATGTAGGATCCACCAAATTCCTTGCCAGTAGTTTGCTACCTAGAAAGGGTACAAGTTCATAACTGTTAACTAAGCAGATTCTGGCATCAGGACAGACCTGGTTGTACTCTTCCATATCTGTAAAGTAGGAGTTGTAATAGAATTTACTTCATAAGGTGGTTTGGAGATTAAATATGTGTGTAAAGCATTTAACACTATACCTAGCACATAATCAGTTCCCATAAAAACAAATTATTGTTTTATGACCACTATTTATTTGAGACTCCCATGATTTTTGTGGTACAGTAATTCTGGTTTACGTCTATGATTGTAATGTGTTTGTGTGTTGTTCTGTCCTTGATCCAGGTCACAGGATTTCCCATCCAGATGCCGTATACTGATATTCAGTCAGTTATAGATGCCGTGTATCAAACTGGAATTCACTCTTCTGAGTTTCCTGAGACAGAATTTGCTTTAGCTGTATACATTCACCCATATTCAAACAACATATTATCTGTTTGGGTCTACTTGGTATCCTTAGCCCAACATCACTGAAAAGAAAAAGTGGAAAAGGAAGAGATCATACGATGGTTCCTTAGACCACAAGCAGTCACAACTTTTCTGTTATCAAAAGTTTGCTGCTTATCATTATGTCCAGCTAGGTGCCAATCTCAATTATTTATTCACTTACAAAGTTGGGTAATAACCCCTACTCTCCTTTCCCTCCCTATTCTTTGAGGGTAAGTATAGATGACCACCTCACTAAAAACCTCTCCTAGGAAAGAAGACCCTTTCATCATTACTCTCCATAGTAGGTATGGCTCTGGAAAAAAAGTAATTCTGGCTAATTAAGTAATTCTGGTAATTAAGGCCAATGTTTCTCAGATGTGAACCTCACACTATCATCACAAGAATCATCTGGAGGGTCTTGTTGAAAATGCAGATTCCTGGTACCATCCAAGACCTACTGAATCAGAACTCTGAGAAGAGCTCCAGAATCTGTATTATTTTCAGTGAGCTCCCCAGGCAATTGTGATAGACATTAATAGAATTCAGCCTTAGAGCATGTAGCCATTACTAAATTAGGGCTAGTACACTTAACGTGGTTTCTGATTCCACTGCATGTATAAGTTACTATAATTGAAATTTAAAGTCATTGCCTTTCATATGATAAAAGGTTATTTTACTGATAAAGAAAACAAGGAAAAGCTACAGAAATCAGCTTCTATTTTTTTTTTTTTATCGGCACCAGGGATTGAACTAACGGCTGCACACTTTCAAGGCAGGCACTTATGCCACTGAGCTAAATCCCCATCCCCAGAACTTCTTAAAAGTTGCACTTGTAGTACTCCTGACAAATCCTTACAGCATCTCATATTTGGAAGGGACTCCCGTGAAACTCTTAAATGTTTCCTAATAGGTTAAGTAAGAAAACTGTCTTTAAAAACCTCTGGACCCCTTTTTTCCTTAGTGAGCACTCTGCTCAGCCTCTGACACTTTTCTATTTTCTTCTTTTCCCAGTAGTGGCCATGGGGAGATCTATGTAGATTCTAGAGCCCCTCCAGAAAGAACGGATAGCGTTCTACACAGGAAGCAAAACTGTATATTTTTCTTCGGTTTCAAGGTTCTGTGTTCCATGGATAAAAGCATTTGTATAATTTACTTAAATTTGACTTAGCAACTTATCATTGTAAAAATATAGCCAAGGAATATAGATTTCCAAAAGTTGACCAGAAAGTTATAGCTGAGGTAAAGGTAAAATTCACCTCTCCCTTTGCAAGAGCACTGGGCCTTCTTGGTTCACTCATACAGAGAGCAGAGACCTTCAGTTTCATCCACAGGAAACCCCACAATCTGTGTCCCTTCTGCAAACTTTCCACAAAAGAGATGGCCTTATTTGTTTGCAATGATATTAATTTAAGCCTAGTTTGAGATTACAAGAAGAGGTAAGATAGGGACATGGATGAGGGAGTATTTTTCCCCCAAGTTAAAACCTAATTATGTGTCCTCTGACATGCATGAGAAAATTGATTAGAATTTTTGCTTTATTAAAGTTTGTGTTTAAGTGTTATATAAAGTTTTGTTTTTAAATAAGTCTCCTACTTTGAAGTGACACAAAAAATGGTGCCTGTGAAAAGAGCATTACCAAAGAAATGCTACATTTCTGTATTTATTTCTGTAGGACTTGAATGTTTACCTAGATCTTTTATTAGTCATGTATGGCTTTGGAATTGGTAGGCCACTGAAGGTAGCAGATAGTCACAGACAAGTATGGAGGACTATTCTTTATTACATGCATTTTTTACATTTGTATCTGCTACTTTTTAAATTAATTTCTCCTAAAAATTGTAAAGTTGTCTGCAATGAATTATTTTTTCATTCAAAAGTTTTAAAAATACATGCTTTAAAATAGAATATATAATTTTAAAGTTTTTAAAATCATGCTATAGATAATTACAGGATAGCCATTATGTGCCAGACACTTCAGTGTATACTACAGTACAGCAGTGAAAAGACAAAGACCTTATCAGTATGAAGTTTGCACTCTTACAATGTACACACTATCAAATATAAACAGCAAGTGAGTGAGAAAATTTCAGGTATGATGAGTGCCCTAACAGACAGAAATAGGAGGGGAAGGTTGAGGTTATTATTGGAGATGGATATGTAAACAGAATAGGTATGGAAGCCTCTTTATAGAGATACTGTTTAAGCTGAGATTTCAAAGTGATTTCTCAGAATTGTGTGTAACAGAAACCTAATAACGGGAGCTAAACCAAGTGGGGAATATTTTTTCACATAACCACAAATCCTGAAGAAGTCTAAGCTGGTACAGTGGCTCCCCAGTGTCTTAGGTTTACTCATTTTTTTCTCAACATTTTGGCTTTCACTAAGGAAGTTTTTATGTTTTAACTCAGTGGCTTTCAAATTGCAACAAGTATAAAAATCACAGGAAAGTCTGTTGAAACAGATTACCAGGCCTCTCTCCTAGACTTCCTAATTTACTGTGTCTGGCGTAGAACCTGGTAATTTGCATTTTTGTAAGTTCCCAGGTGATGTTGAGGCTGATAAAGTGGGAGAACCCTTTGATAGCCTCAACCTTAGCTTTATAACAATTTTCATGACCAGAAAACTCAGCAAGACAAGGAAGAAATAGAATGCCAGTTGGTTCTGCTTTTTTTGGAGACAGGGTCTTGCTATGTAGTTCAGGCTGGTCCTGTGCTCACTATGTAGTCCAGCTGGCCTCAAACTCATAGCAATCCTCCTGCCTCAGCCTCCCAAGTACTGGAATTACAGGCCCCTGACACCACACCTAGCTCAGTTTTGCTCTTTTAAAAAGCTTTCCACTGGTCCACTATGATGGTGTTCACCTGTTGGCCCAGGTATTCAAGAGGCTGAGCCCAAAAATGTGAGGCCAATCTGGGAAACATAGTAAAAATTATATATATATATATATTTCCCAGAAGGTCACACCCAGTAACTTTTCTTTATATCTCATCAACTTCTAGCCACAGGGAGGTTAGGGGAGAAAATATTATAAATAAATGTTGCTCTCCCAACTAAAATCACCATTCTATTGATGAAGAAAAAGGGGAAGTTGTTCTTCCACAGATCAAACATAGCTAAGTGCAAAGAACTTGTGGGGAAAAAGAATTCAAGTTGTAAGAAGTTGGATTGCAAAAAGCTTGGGTCCAGTAAGAAGTTTACCTAGAGAAGGAAAAAGTAGTAGCACATAAGACTAGAAAGTAGGCAATCTATTTTCATGATAAAGAATCATGATAAAGAATCTGGATTTAATTTCAAGTACAGTAGGAAATCACTGAAAAGGTTCAACCAACTGATCAAATATATTTCCTTTTTTTACTAAAAAAAAGTCCTTTTTTAACAGAAAATGATCTTATGTAAGTGAGTAGATGTGATTGTATTTTTCTACATTTTTAATTTTTTTTTTTCAGTACCCGGGATTGAACTTACAACCTCATGCTTGCCAGGCAGACGTTTGTGCCACTGAGCTAAATCCCCAGCCCTAAATTTTATTTTAAAGAGGACAAAACAGAATAAAACCAATCAAAACAAACCAGAGTGAGAGATACAGGACTTCAAAACATTACATAATCAACAATAGTTACCATAATTCCTTTTGTTGTCTTCAAAATAGCTGCAGATAACTTTGGACATGATAAAAATCAAACAGAACAGAATCAAATAGAAACAAAACACTGAATGCAATAAAGGACTTCAAGCCAACAGTAAATCCAAAATTGCTACCATATTTCTTCTCTGTCTTTGAAATTACATACCATAAGATTTGACATAATCAAACAAAACAAAAGAGAATAAACTCCAACCCAACAAAACAGTGGAAACTATATAGGACTTCCAAAACAAGACTATAGGGAATCAGCAATGGCTGCAACCCTCAGCAGGAGATCTCCCCTAGATTCCACACTGTGTACCACTATCCTCTGAACCCATGATCAGACCACTGACCCTAGATCTGCAATGTTAGTGAAACACCAAAGCACCACAGTATCCAATTGCATTTCACCTCCATAGCTATCTCCACAGCCTGTGTTTCTCCAGATCAAATTGCTTACAGATGGTGGAGGAGGATTGGTACTTGTTTGCCAGCCCTCACACCAGAAGAGGCTGAGGTCTGGCTGTTCCAGTTCAGCAGGAGCCCACACATGAAGCTGGTTCCCAGACTGGGCTTGCTTCTTGGTGTGGCCTTCTCTCTACCCCCAGGCTGCAAATGGCTTTGTGATTGTATTTTTAAGAGCATATTTATTTTTTCTTTTTTACTTATTTCCTTTTTCCACTGTTCTCCCTTTTTTTACCCACATTTATGCACTTCTTTCATACCTTCACTAACCAAGTATATATTCCTTCATTTAACCAGCATTTTCAAATGCTCATATGAAAATGCATACATATATATGCACATATATATTGAAATCCCAAATATTGATTAGTTATCCACATATCATAATATCTTTCCAGTTTTCCTCACAACCCAAAAAGTTATAATTGTAATCCCATTGAGACATTACTAGAATCCCAGCAAGTTAATTCCAATCTACCACCTCCAGTACAACCCATGGCAAGAATAAATATACCATGACACATTCCAAGTGAAGGGCAACCAAGGAATCCTAAATCCAATCCCTGTGAGGATGCGCAGACAAAGGCCCTGGTCCTAGGCCTCTCCCAGCATTTATTATCTTGTGAAGAAGAGTGGCTCAGGGATGAGTGACAGAGAGGACAGCGGGAATTACCTGAGTAACTTGAGCTGCCTAGCCAAGTAGGGAGAAAATCATCTCTGCAAAATGCAGAGATAAAGATATACAGAAGGGCCAATTTGCATATTCAATTAAGGTAGTAACTGAATTGTTTTAGGAGACCTTGCTTCAATTTCTGATATGTAAACTGTTGTGCCCTGGCGAGTAATAGCCTCTTTACCTTGAGGTTCATACCCAGTTGACATTCCTGGAGCTATTGGGTCTATTAGCTCATCCTGCTATGCTCATATCCTTTACACCTCGAACACTATGCAAGGAGATAGGACTGTCTGGTGGCTTTAGAGGTTACATACCAGTACCTCGGCTAGCCTTATTTGCAATGCTTAGAGCCAATTGAAGAAAGAAGGAAATAGCATAGCCAGCTCTCTACATATCAGTATAAGAAAATGAGTCTCCAAATAAAGTTGCAACAATTGTTTTGCATTCAAGGGGAGTCACTGGAGTTGTCTCCCACACATATATGCATGAGA